CCCCCCATTCAACCAAATCAACGCTCCAGACCATAACCACTCACAATTTGAGAATAGTGTGACCTTTACCTCTTATGATAAGCCACGCCTCTGATGGCGGAGCTATGATGCTTGAAACTCTTCCAGGGCTTCGACGATAATTGTAAATCAAGCCATACAAATTTACGATCGAGTCCACCAACAAAAAGATTCTGAAATTGCTAAATTACATTCCCCCGCTTTAGATACTGCGACAGAACCAGTAGCCAAACAACACCCATCAGGCAAATTTCTTCTGTTTAAAAAAATCATCACAAAAAAATCGGATTTTTTTTCTGGTATCAAACCATCACAATAATAACTATGAATTTGATTCTTACCTCTCCCTGGACGTCTGGTACCATGGCACCTATATGCTTAATTCCAGTTATGCATTTCTTGACAAGCTGACACCGTGCTAGATCGTACACCCTGAGCAATAATGATTAAGTCGCTCTCAACCAAATGTGCTTACTATGTAGAGATGGCTAGCTAGGCCCTCTTGGTCACTCCGGGATACTGAATACGTATCAAAATCTATAAATGCAGGCCAGCAGTGCGCATCTCCTAAGAGGACTTCGCGAGGGATACTGTATTCTAGTCTTCGGGAGGAAGGCCATACTTGGCAATGCAGGTTTGGGAAAACAATAAAAACTGTTACCCTTTTTGGTCTATACGCCTCGTTCCCCGTGGACATGGAGTTTTTTGAGACGCTGCACAAAAGGAAACTTTCAAGTTGAAGATGATCATACTCCAGGCAGTATGGAGAAAGGCGGTGTGTTAAACCATTGTTTTCCGTCATTGCCGTGGCATACACTATGCATCAGATAGGCGGAGAACACTACACTGTGGACTTATTCCCATCTAATTTCGATGCAGTACCCTGTTGTAAACACTACCAGTCCTATCCATGGCACTGAGCCCATGGTTAAGAGATTCTCTCACAACAAAAATGCTACAGACTGGAAAGATTCCTCGGAGCTTAACTTTATCCCATTAAACAATTGCATCATTCACGGTTTTTATCCGACTTCTAGACCTGCCAAAAGATACAGGAGCTTATTTCTGAGAAAAGGCGAGTAGCTAGTTAGCCAAGCGCTGAGGAAAGGCGAGTAGCTAGCTAGCCAAGCTCAGAATATTGAAAAAAGAATGTTACTTTTTCAACTGACCTGACATGAATTTTGGTAGCGACGAAAAGCCTTGGTAGAGATGGATGGAAGGCAACGCTTTGGACGTGACCCTTCCTCTTCGTGAACGGACACTGGAACAACCGCACAAATTACTAAAGTATTCATTAAAGTATTAACTCTCTGAGGTGTTACACGGCGCAGTTCGGCTTGGTGGTGTCACCAGTGGTACTCAGCGAAGCTTCAACATGTCACCTTGCGGAAACATGTGAACTCGTGCAACTTTACAGGAGTTCACATGTTTCCGCAAGGTGACCTGTTTGTGAACCTCTTCTGTATCACTTTGTAGCTTCACAAGAGTTCACTGTTCTCTCCAAAGTTTGACCTGTTCAT